AAGAAGAGAGAGAGAGAGAGAGAGAGAGAGAGAGACTTCCTTTATACTCTGAAATTCCCTCTCTCTCTTATGGGGCTACTTAGCTGACAAATGCAGATCAACCATCCTGCTCCCACTAGGGAGCCCTACCACAAGGAAACTGATGCTGGCATTCCTTGTGCAGATCCCCTAGCCTAGACGACAAGACTGACAATCTTGCACTTAGAGTGACATGAAACACTATCACTAACCTCCTCCGGTGAAAGCAACAGTACTGGCTAAAATGATGTGATTGATAATGACGTCCAGATGGTTCCTGAGATCTCAACAGTAGGAACTGGCTGCATCTAGAGAGGGGCAGCAGCTCAGCTAGTCATCACCTATCCATGTGCCAATGTGGGATAGGTCAAACTTCACCCTCATACTGAAATAATCGACAATGTGAAACTGCAAGTGGTAAAATATCTGATGCAGTTTTGTCTAATTAAACCAATTTCTCTTAGTGTGATCATATATGTTGCATCTGACATGATGAAGATAGAAGTCCAAAGGAGCCTTGGCTCATGGTTATGGCCATGAAAAGGCACTCTGGGAGTTATGCATGCATTTGGCTAAGTTATCGTCCTTACCTTTTCAGAGCTTTCATGCAGAGAGGAGAGAGAAAATAAAAATCTCAGATAACTAATGAGTATGTAGGTGAGTGCCTATTTATTGATGTGCTCTTTACCATGCTTCTATTATACGCCCCCATTCTTTCTTTGTGTGCTCGCCCCATTCATAATCTACATGAAACTGACTGGGTAAACTACTCTCTCTCTCTCTCTCTCTCTCTATATATATATATATGTATGTATATATATATATATATGTATATATATATATATATATATATATATATATATATATATATGGACCATCAACAGACGAGAACAGAAAAGAAATGAATATATATACCTTGAAGAAGAGTTGCAGCATCCTTCTTCATTGCCAACCAATGATAGTGGTAGGCAAGAAGACAAGCACTGTAGAGTAGCAAGCATCCACTTTGCCGCTGTATATAAAATCTGAACTCCTTCGAGTGTTCTATAAAGCCAGAGGCCTTAGCAACTCTTGATACTTGGTAGTGAAAGGAGTTGTGACAAGGAGGATACATGGTGAGGCTGATCCTGGGACTTTGTCTTTGCATCACATTGGTTGTCTCCTCCATGCACACTTCTGAACCTCGAGTGATCAGCCGATGGATGGCAACCAATGGGGAGTTTGCATTCGTAATCGGGCCAATCCGGGGGCAGATGGTGGCGACAGCAGCATATGCATCAAAACGCACGATTCCGGGAGGACCAGACCCACAGCATCACTCCATGGATCCTTGATAGCTGGTTTTGGCACACGCAATTTCAAGTGCATTTGTAACCATTGAGTAAGTGGTAATAAAAACAAGACTTCTTTCTCAATCTCCCTTTTATGCTCTCATAGAAATCTGCATACACAACATAGCTGAGCTACTGTTTAGTAATTAACAACTTCAAAAGGTAAAAGTTAAACTACAGTTTCAAGAAACAAGAATGATCTACCAAAATGGTGAGTATATTGCATAATCGACAAGTCAACGGTTCACTTGAATGAACAGGACAATACATCTTCAACTCCATTGTTGGTCAGCACAAAAAGACAACATCTGACTGCTCACTGCATTATACAAATATCAATAATAATGTCAAAATAATATAACAAAACAGTTTTGACTGATATGTACAACATTTGAGTTCCTTCTCTTTATTGTCATTTAATCACCTGTTAGAAATCCATACAACTTCTTCTATAATCTCAACTTGCTTCATTCCAGAGCATCACCAAATTATTCCTCCAGCTGTCATTTTCCTATTATGAATTTCCCTTCAAATGTCTTATACCTTTTCTCTTAAAAGCTACCTTGTAGACATGATAATACGTCAACATGCACCTTTCTTGTGGTAATCCTTCTTGTTTCTCAAAGCTAGTCTGTTTTGATCAAATTAGATCAGGCAAGTCTGTTTTGATCAATTATAAACAATAATCATCTAACGGCACACCCTTTTTTTGGCACTTTAAAGTTTGAGACGGAGATTAATTCTTTGTCATGAAATATGCAATACCAGCCTGATGAAAGGGCATCAAGCCAACAATCGATGTTTTGTCCAAAGAAAATCCAAGAGATATCAAGCAAGAAAATGGTGTCCTCTAAAGTACATTAAGTACCATGTAATCCAAAATCCTTGAGGAGCAGTATAGGCACAAGAAGAAAGAATAGACGTCTGTAAAGCTGTGAATTATTTTAGTCACAGAGAACTAATACTTTTGGACCATGTTAGTAGGCCCATTCCATACAAGTTATACTAACAACTCAGGCTGTTAAAATGGTACCAGAGCTACACTATGGACCCTCCATTTTGGCTTAATGCACTATGGGACAGATTTTGTCTAGGATAGGGTTCCTCATGGACGAGTGAAGATGACAAAACATCCATATTTGATGCAAATTTTGACCCTGAAAGGACCCAAATTTTATATAATGCCCTACCAAGGAAGTCAGATTTACATAAGTAGGCTCATAACTGTTCAAAATGAATGATGAACATGTAGCATTCAATCTGTTCTAGTAACTTCAACTTAAGAAATTAGGGAAATAAGAGTTCCATCACATATAATGCCAAATGATACCACAGATCCAAATGTTCTCAAAAGCTGTTCGAACTAATCCGTGCTCCACTGGTCTGGCAAAATCCAATCTTCAAGTCGTCAAACGGCACGGCTACACTCGATTCCCATCAAACACGAGCGATTCCCAACCAAACACACAATTGCCCACGATTTCCATAACAAAGACCGACAAAATCAAAAAGAAAAGAAGCGGACAAACGAAGGTATGATCGGAGAATAACCCGGTTGGATGTTTTTCCGGTGCTGGATTGAGTAGTGACTGTTTGGCAACGCCGAGGCGAGAGATCCAGAGATCGGAATCCATCAATTCGTGCGACCGAAACCATCGGATACAGCGACGTGGGACCTCGAAATCCCACGACAGACGATCGATTTCTCCCCTTCTTCTCACTAATCTCCTCCACCTGACGATCGATCGAACGCGAGAGCGCGGCGAGGGGGAGAAGGAAGGGGCGAAGAGATGCAGTAACTGGAATTTTCCTTCTTCCTTTTAATCTGCTTACCATACCAACTTTTGAGCAAATTACCGATCAGCCCTCACCTTATTAAACGAGATGTTATTTACTAAATTTTATAAGATATGAGCCTCTAATAGCCGAAATATGTAAATTATTCGAAGAAATTGATAATTTGTTACTATATTTGTTTTTTTATTCAATAAATTAAAAGAAATAATAAAATGAAGAGTTATTATCATATTTAGATACCGTAGATTAGTAATAAATCCATCAATTGGGGGTGTGTGTGTGTGTATATATATATATATATATATATATATAGGAAAATCTTTGTTATTTTATCAAAAGAAAAAAGGAAAACATCAATGCATTCAACAAAGACACAAAACAATTCAGAGTTGTTTGTACATGTGAATATATAACTTGGAAAATAAGAGAAAAGAAGGTATAACTGTTCCATGATCTATAAATATTCACTGCTAAAGATTAAGAAGGTTCACTGAATCTCCTACTAACCTTTTATGGTTGCGAGTAGACTGCTTCCACTCCGATGGTCACACTCAATAGAAGTATGCAACAGAGCCTGGAGTTTGAAGAACCCTAATAAGCAATGGATCCTTTATGAAACAAAATGGTTTTTACTGCAACAAAATGACAGTGCAAATTCAAAATCCTAATCTTGAACCATCTTAGATCACATACCAAAATCCTCAACAAATGTCATACTATGGTACGACATCTTCACTGGTGTCATATTAATAACATTATCATAGATAGATGCAGGTAAGAAACCATGCCATAACCTTTAGCGATTCCTTCGGTTATCAAAACGTTGACGTCACCTCCGAACCTAGGCCGAGCAGCAACCAGCTTTCTTGACAGCAGATACATCATCCTTGGAGCCAATATTGATCGTCTGCCCCTTTGGCAGAGATGCAGGATCATTACCAGCTTCAAGTGCCTTCTTGCACACCACATGATGTATCTGGGTAAGCACTTCGCTGAAGGCATTCTCCACATTCATCGACTCCAGAGCAGATGTCTCCATGAAGAAGGAGTTTTCCCTCTCAGCAAAATCCTTTGCATCCTCAGTGCTAACTGCCCTAAGATGGCGCAAATCTGCCTTGTTCCCAACGAGCATGATTATGGTGCTGGAATCAGTATGCTCCCTAAGCTCCTTCAACCATCTTTCTACGCTCTCGAATGTTACATGACGAGTTATATCATACACAACCAGTGCACCAACTGCTCCTCGATAATATGCACTTGTGATTGCCCGGTATCTAATTTAACAGAGAAGCAAGAGTTATAGCTTGCACATGCTTTATACATTGGAAGCACCATATCTCTAGAAATGAGGAATGACAAATGAGTGCAGTCCAAAGAAAGAGCTTTATGGTGATCAGATAAAAGGAAAAAGAAAGATCTTTATGTGCTTGACATATATAACACATGCATACGGTAATGCTTTCCTGTAAGGAAACACAATTGTAGATATGAAAGTCATTCATTTTAACTTAAAAGAAATATTCATACATAGGAAACCTCTTTCACAATTCACATTTCTAGTACAAGACATAATAAAGCAAAGGATTTGACACCAAGAGATTAAACATCAATGACAAACTGATTTTTCCAGATAGCATCTGATGACATGGAAGCTTTCTTGAAGATTCATCACTACCTCCAAAGAGTTTGGAGGTATTCAACTCTTCATTATTTGAAAATACACAAAAGAGTTTCATTATCTAACTGAGCAAATACAATTATATTGGAGAGGACCAACTAAGCACCTAAACATGGTATGGTTCTTACTCTTACAAGTGACTAGACATATTGCAAAACTTATTTCGATTTGTTTCATGTTATATTGTTATGATAACAATGCATAGGACATTAAAATTTCATAGAAATGTATATATGTGCACTAAGTGGCAGCTTTGACCCATTGCATAACTTAGATGCTTCTTGATCACTGATGTACAAGAAAAGATTTGCCATACAACATTGCCCTTTGTCAAGAGTAAATGCAGAAGATCCATTTTCAAGAGGACATACCAAGTTTATATGTGAAAAAAATGCCATAGCATGAAAAATGATGCCTCGATGCTGCACAAAAAGTGATATTTAATACTGTGGATATGGAAGTAAAGTAGTCCATGCATTTACATAATTCATGAATACAAATCAACTGCTTCTATGTGCCATTTAATAGCAAGAAAAATGTAAGTTTGTGAATGTATGCAAATTAAAATATCATGAATTTGTTGATATAAAAAAGTCCCATACTATGAGAAATTGAGAGGCAAAAGTACCACATTTAATTCTAATAATTAACACCAGAAACTTAGTAAAAATATATCACTCAAGAGATCTAAGAGTATATTGCAGACCAAAAATTTTCCATGACACCACATCTATCCGATCCTGATCGGATTGGTAATATCAATTGGATCTCGACTTACCTCTAGCTATCATTATTCATTGTTACAGAATGAGGAGGAATGCAAACCTTTATGAATAACAGGCATCAGTTGGTGGTAAGCACGGTGAAGAAATAGGGACAACGACAGTGATTAGAAGAGAGATGATAAGAAAGAATAACATGCCATCAATCCATGAATTAACTAAAGATGATCCCCATATATATGGCTACAGAATCCATTTCTTAATAGGTTCTAGATAAAGAAATAAAAATAGTAATAGGACAGAATTCAACTTAACATCTAACTATCCCTACCTAACCAATCCAGATATAACATAATTGATTATCTTCTAAAAATAACATTGAGAAAAGACATTGCAGATCTAAAGTAGATTAACATAATCAATGTAGAGCCTAAACATAATCAAATTTAATTCGTAATCACCTACGGATTGCATAGCTCGCTTCAGTACATTCAATAGCATCTGCAAGATCATCCTTTTGCTACATAACAAGGTTAGTCCTACCGCCTGATACGGTATGAAATGGTTGATATGTACCAGTCAATCCATTGCTCACTTCACTACATTCAACAGCATTTGCAAGATCATCCTTTTGCTACATAACAAGGTTAATTGTACCACCCAATATGGTACGAAATGGGCGATACGCACTAGTCCACTCGGCAACCTCTACAAAGACTATCCTATTTTGGGCAGTACACAGTAGGCAGGGGTGTACCACTTGGTACACCCCCTATCTCGGGTGATACGATCGAAATTCAACCGTCATTGACCTATATCAGTCGGTTGGATTCCAATTATACCAGTTCACTTGGGTTAAATCATGGGTGTCTAACAGCCAATTTGACCATTGGACCCCTGGTTTAGGCTGTTTTTCCTCTTTCTAAACCCTCTCCCACCCCTCTTTCACCCCCCCTCACTCTTACTCTTTCTCACTCTATTTCTCATTAAGAAACATAATCGATGATCAGAGCTCATCAAAAGTTCAAAAGCTTCAATTGGAGGGTTTCAAAGGCATCATTTGGTGGAAGATCTCTTCAATTAAGGTATGTATGACTTTTCACTAGCTTATCCTAACAACCTATAATTACTAGCCATTTATGACTCACTTGCACACTACTCTTATCAAAATTAAATTGAAATTATATTAAATTAGGATAAAAAGCAATTAAAATGGTTTTTTTAATCAGGTAATTTTCAACTATTATTTGGTCATTTTTCTAAAAACCAGTATGTACTGACATACTGACATACGATACACTAGTATCGACTGGTACAGGTTAGGACCACATAGATGGAGGTTCAACGATTCATCAAGCTATGGAGGTTCAGAAATGGTTTACTATGGAGGACTTGTCATTTATTGATTTTCATTATCCTTACGTGTTTCAAACCTCATTCTGTCAGTAACTTGAGTTTACATCATCTTATCAAGTTTCACTTAAAAGGGTGAAACCACTATGGGAAGGATCAATGCACGCAGCCGAAGACATAGAGTGGTTATGTAATCTTATTGTCATACCAAGGTCCACCCTCTTCATCAAAGTTCATTCATGATAATAAGAACAAGGATGGCAATCAATGGTAGAATTGGTGAGGGAAGATATTTTGTCTTCATAAATCATATCTGTTATGAATCTAATTCAGTTATTGGGATAACTCCTAAAGCTATTGAACTACGATGTTATCTGATCATTGAAGTCAAGTCTGTTTTATGGTGGAGGACATCAAATCTAGTATGCAGGGGCCAAAGCGAGCATCCCATCCATTTTCCATCACCATCATCCGCGTTTGACTCTTCCAAGTCCACCTTCCCAATTTGACAGAGGGCATGGTCGAGAAGAAACAAAAAGGACAGATTAGAAAAGAGGTAAGAGGAGAGAATGAAAATAAACAAAGATAGAAAGTAGAGAGATAAGAAGAGAGGTATGAGGAGAGAATGAAAAGTCATAGGTCCAAGACAAAACTAGAATCTCCATTCATAACTAGATGACTCCTACATATTTGGCTACATAATCCTTTTTCGAATAGGATTCAGTATAGAAATTTAAAAATTGTGATAAGATAGACTTCTAATTTAAACTGATTATATCTATCTAATCAATCCAAATTTAATATAAATGGTCATCTACAGAAAACTCCAAATTGCCAAAAGAATATCACAGATCTAACTACAACATAAAATAATTGGAGTCCGAAGACTCCGAACATGATCAAATCTAAGTTATAATCAGCTCTAGATCACATTATTAGTCCCTTATTCAGGGATTAACATCCTATATCAGCCCAATAAGTCACTGACATGTCAACATCAAATGGCCACCTGAGTTGAATTTAAAAATTAGAAGAAATCATCCTTAAGAGCTACCAAGTAGAGTAGCTTCTATAGTCTTTAAATATAGTGGTCTATCATCACCCTTATGAGGCTAATTCATTACTTGATAATGCCATATTGATATATAACATTTTAAAAATAACGAATTTGATAGTAATTGTAGTATAATGAGTTTGTTTTAATTTTGAACATTTTCTAGACAATCTCAGTGTCATTCCCAATTC